CAGACAGACAGACAGACAGACAGACAGACAGACAGACAGACAGCTGGCTAAATCACAATAGCTGAACTCTAACTACTTTCTTAAAGTATGAAGAAAAAACACCCACCCACACCCACACCTCTGATGGGATGAGTTTAAAAAAAAAAAAAATACAAAGAAAATCCTCTCAGCAAGTTTAGAGCTCCATTTTTCTGAATCACATTCCAGAATCAGAAAGGACTACTCCAAGCCAACCTAAGATGGAATGTGCTATTTTCAGAACATTAAATCATTAAATTTGATGCATCTTAGGTGGTCTCTGCACAAACCTAATAATTACGTTATTTTAGAGTTAACTAAATTTTCAGCAGTGAATTAAAGACTTTATTATATAATGGATATAATGGATGATGTATACATGGAGGAAATATGCATTATATTTTGAGAGAGTTGCTATTCTTAACAGAGTTCAGTGCAGTCTGTTTAACATAACTTGCCATAACATGAAGTAGGGCTGCATCTGATTAGAGTTATAGTTGAACTCATCATTAAGTCCCCACATGGCCCTGGAAATGTGTAGATCAAATGTGCAGGTAAAACTGCCTTCTCCTGAATCATACTTGAGATCTTCCATATTCCAAGCATGTGTTTTACTGTTCAGCTTATGGCCCCTTCCCAAATGCTTATACAAAGGCAATAAAAAAGAGCAACACATAAATTAAATTAAATGATGACAGACTATTCTGATCATGTATGTAGAGGTTTGTGAAACAGTTTTGTATTTGTAATGAATGTATAGTAGAAGGATAAGATTTTAACAATTTAAGTTAATGAAAATTGGCCAGGTGACAGTTGTGAAGACAGTGAATAAGTCTTCTAATTTCTTAGTAAAGTTTCTCAGTGTACTTTGTTTTTGGTGTCTACTTTTACTACAAACAAAACACATTTAAACACATCTTAAGCATGATTAAAAATATAATGTGGTTCCAACTAAAGTATCCATATTCTTGAAGCCTTTCCATAAATGTGAGAATGAATTTCCTTTGTGCCATCAAACCAGGCAAAAGGGGGAATGGGATTATATACCATGATGATGATGATGATGATGGTGATGATTTCCTGCCTTTATTTTGTACAATCAAGGTGGTGTACATAATGCTCCTGCCTTCTGTTGACCCCACAACAACCACTGTGAGGTGGTTTGGCTGAGAGAGGGTAACTGGCCCAAAGTCACCTACAGTACTTGCCTTCCATGCTTAAGGGAAGGCTAGAACTCACAGCCTCCTAGTTTCTATCCAGGATTTTAACTACTACACAAAACTGGCTCTCTGTTTGCAACTAAGCAGTAGGCCATTCAATACATAATATCTGGAATTCAACATTTATTCATATTTATTAAAATGTTTCTAGACCTCTTTTAAGAACAGAATCCTACCAAATAGTTTACATGTCATAAAAGAAAGAATAAGTTAATAAAATTAATATGCAAACCAACACATGTACAGACTAAAACACCATGATGCCTATGAATACCAGGACTGACAGCATCAAAAGTAGATAAAGGGTCCAGAAGAGGAGTTACATTCATTCTGTCCATTCCTCAGTGTAAGTCATTTTTCAGGGCAATCAAGATAGTTTGTATTCTGTGCATCTGACTGGAATGGAACTGAATAATCATATCACCCAACATTGCTTAGAGTTAAAAGGTCACAAATAATATTCAAAGCAGTTTGCATGAAATGGACTGAACAGTATAAAAACAAAAATAAAAATCAGCGAGGGCAATAAATACTTCAAGATGTGTAACAGAGCAAAATAATTCAAACCATCAATTAGCATTCAACACAGCCGCTAAAAATAATGAAATTCCTGTGTATGAAGAATCGGTGGATGCTTTATTTGCAGGGAAGGGTCATGTTATCAGTGATCCTTTCCCTAATGGCCAACCGCCTTATCTTTGCTAGTTGGGTCAATCAGCAGTTGCCTGGATCTCATGTTAAACTAACTTCTATGCACTAAGATTGTTTATGTCAGTATCTATAGCTCACTGAAGTGACTTAAAAGACTCCTTCAGGTTGGATGCCATACAGAAAGGTCTAAGGAGTTCACATGCTTGTTATTTAGAAAGTTAGCATTCTTTATTGAATGTGATCATTCTAATATAAAATGTATTTGGAATTCTCCTTCTAGTGTTTGAAGATCCAGAGTACATAGGAAACCGTTACAACTGGATGGCAGAGAATGTGAACAAAGGCTACTGGGATGAAAATTTGTAGGTATCTGATGAAAACCCAGATGTGCACACCTACTGTAGGAGAGATGTTTAATGACTGTTTTATCAATGTTAAGTTCTTGATATTTAGGTATAGATTTATTTTCAAAATGAAAAATCATCAGTAGAAAATCTAAATGTATGCCTTTAAATATCAATTTCAACATCAAACCATACTGAATCTTATACTACTGTATAACAAGGTTAAGTAAAATGTATACAGGATCAAAATATTATCTTTCACAGGACCTGCCTTTTTCATGGCAATTATGATTTTATAATTACTGCAAAGAGTGGCATTTACTGGAGTTACATACAAAAACTTCAGAAAATATTATTAAAAATAAGAATAATTTTATTCAGAACATTCATTTGTGAAACATACAATCAGTTTATGAACTGATTATGATTTCTCCTTTGGCTCGGAATATAAAAGCCAGTCCAGGCTCCTAATTAGAGTTCAGAAGTGGTGATTGAAGTTTGATATTAACATCTTAAAGTGCAACTGGAAATCACTGCAGATCTTTCAAAACAGGCATAGCGTGATCCCTGCACCCTGCACCTATTAGCAACCTAGCGGAACCTTTTCAAAGGTGAGTGTACAGACACTGTGTTGCAACTTTGTTCCCCTTCATAAAGCCTTCTCTCTACATACACATAGACCCAACATTCCTTCACTGGGGTTTTGTGCATATTTATAGAGGAGAAGGTGTTTCCAGTGTCTCCCAGTGAAGAAGGAAAATGCTGCCTATCTGTAAAATGTGGTCCCTGCAGGCTACCTGGGATCAGGGGAAGGTGGAATGAGGCACAGGACTCATAGTTTATTTGGGGATTCAGTGAGAAGGAGACAGTGCAAGGAGCAGACATATACAGCAGACCTCACATTTTATATGTGCCTGGAATCATAGCACTGCTGACCATTGAAGCTGAATAATTTTTGTAAATTATCCCTACGGCATAGTTAATTTATTTTAGAGCATACTAAAAAGATTGCAACTAGTTGTTTCATATGCACGTGGCTACTTCACCTGACAATTTTGCCACAAACTGACAGACACTGTAAAAAAATCTAATTTGGGTTCAAATTAAATAAAAGCAAATGGGCTAAATTTGTTCATTTTTCTCTTGAACAGAATCTCTTACTCTATAGGGTTAATTTTCCTTGGATACAACTTCCTTGTTTTATTTCTCTTAACAGAAGTTCTTTGTTTCACGTATTTGATAATTGCTTCATTATGTTGTGCCACACAATATGTGTGTGCCAAGAAAGCATTTCAAAAACTAGAAGTATCCTTTCTGAACTCTTTCTCCATTTTTAATTTTTAAAGAATTAACAAAGAACAAAAATAGGTTAGAGTTGTTTGAGAAAGCAGCCTTTTCTTTGAAATAATGCAAGTTTTCATACTAATTGCATTGGAGCATGAGAAGAAATGGCTATGATTTTTTTTTTTGACAGTTATAGGTCCACCTTTTACTGCCATCTTGTGGTTAAAAACAGACTCTTGTAAAATCCATCCCTTCCTTCCTTCCTTCCTTCCTTCCTTCCTTCCTTCCTTCCTTCCTTCCTTCCTTCGCTCAAGGGGCAAAGAAGAGATTTCCCAATGACTGTGATCAGGACATGCCTGCAACTTAACAGGTTGTAGTTTTACATGTATGGACCCATCACAAAACAACAGCAAATGTTTGGCCAAGTAAAGGCACAATACACTTCAAGGAGCAGTGCTTGTCTGAACCTTTACAATGAAAAGCTGTAACTCAGCCCAAGCTTGCAAACAAGCTATCCTTATTATGAAATATACACTACAATGAATGGAAGTTAAGATCCATAATAAAGGGAATATATATATATATATATTTTACATCCTATAAAAAGTTATAACTTGCTTATAATCTATAAAACAGTCCCAAGACGGGGGTACAGTCCATTTACAGTAAGAGTATTTTACCATTCAAAGCACTTCTAAAAATTCTGATATCTTAATAACGATAGAGTAGCGTTAAAACTCTGTATCATAGGAAGAAACAATTGGAACATCATTAGCAGAATAGAATAAATTTAGTTACAGGTCTTTGTGGATTTGGCTTTTTGAGAGAGTTACACGCACTTTGATGATAGAATTTGTTAAGATGCCGATGGCTGCAAGCACAAATTTGGTCCAACATTGGAAAAGAGACACTTTGCCAACAATATCAGACTGGGAACCAAACTTGGGGAATACATACAAATGGCAAAATTAAGAAGTTTGACTAAATGTAAACAAGACTGGCTTCTTTATATATCATATGTCACCCACCAAGGCAAACTCAGACACTTAGAGTTTTTAAGTGGGAAATAATTGACACAAAAACAGTAATTAGAAGCAATTTCAATGTTTATAAATATTTTGATGTAATCACCAGTTGGGTACAATGGAATTTAGAACTTAATATTGTTTTTACTTATTTTTCTCCTTTTTGTTTATTTTAATTTTATTTTTTCCTTTTTCCTTCCCTTTACATGATTATGTGCATTTATTTGGGGAACAATGGCAAATAGCAGTGATATCAATATCAATATAAAGAGTTTTATAGAGATTTTTAGTTATTTCTTAAGATGATATAATAAATCTAGTTCTATACATTTCATTAATTAATTAAAAATTAAACAAGATGATATAATTAATTTTGAATATTAACACTGTAAATCCTTTGTATACTTACTGACATTTTAGTCTTCATCCACTATGTCCTTTTCCACTTTCTTTTTTCTTTTATGTGGTTATTTATTCTTTAAACGTTTTTGTTTAATTAAAAAAAAAAATTATCATATACACACACACACACACATTTGGCTGTTACTGTCAAGCAAATATCTTGGCTTAAGAGGCAGAAATGCTAATATACATATTTGTCCAAATACAGCTATATGTACAGTATATGTTGGTGCTTAATTTGAATCTGTCTTATGCTTCCCTCTGCATGTGTTGCCATTTGCAGTTTTGCCTCTACCACGTAAACTTGCATAAGGAGAAAAGTACCGCCTGACAATCATAACTTCGGCTACACGCTAAATATAATTTCATCACAATGTTTGAAGCTAAATTCATCAAACATTTAAAAATAGATTGCAAGGCTCTTTCCTTTTACGCAGCATTTGTTCCTACAAATTGTGGCAGGAACAGTCGACCATTTATTCTGTGATGTGGGCACCACTTTAAACTTCCCCTGTAGCAGCTTAAACTTTGTAAGTAACCAATAGTCTGGGGGCTGTAACCATACTGAGGTAAGAATTTCCATGGTAGACTACCCATTACCAAAGGAGCAGGGGCAGATGGGAAAACTCTAGCACAGCGTTTCTCAACCTCGGCGAGTTTAAGATGGGTGGACTTCAGCTCCCAGAATTCCTCAGCCAGCAAAGCCAAGCCAGGTTGAGAAACACTGTTCTAGCATGAGGAGCTGGGGCTTGCCTTTCAGTGCTATTACAGGGCTTAAACAGTTTTGGGTCACTCCAGTCCTAGGCCAATGCCTTAACCACTACCCCACACTGTCTTGCTCTCTCTCTCACTCTGACTCTCGTTGTCTTTGTCTCCAACGTCAGTAAATGCAGGGATGTATCAAAATTGCTTGCAATTACAGTGAATTAATGTTGAGTTCATCTCACCTCAGTGTGGGGACAGTGCCTTCTGTTTTTTACACGGCTCTTTGGAACTGCCTGAAAAGCTTCAAAAAGCTTTTAAGCAATCACCAGCTATTAATATTCTCATAAAAATCTACAGGTTTGTTGGCAGTGTCTCTGTCTTTTCCTGGACTCAGTAAGCTTAATTATGCACCCAAATGGTACACAGTTATTTTTTCAGAGTCAGTTACCAACTGATCCTAAACATTTGTTCTTTCTGCGGCCTCTCCTATGACATCTGGGTCATATCACTTGAATACCAGCATGAATAATATCTTCTGACATTTTGCAGGTGTATCCAACCACGATTTTTTTTGGCAGGTTTAACAGATCCTACCTTAGGCCACTAAATTTTCCATAAGGAGGCATTCATATAAACCTGTTCCTAGGTCCTGCCCTTATTGAGAGCACGACCAAAAAATTCTAGGATGCAGCTATATAGTGGGAGAAGATCTGTGTTTCATAGATTCCCATTCAGGGCTATGGGATAAATAAAATCACTTGCTTTTAGAGACACTAACTCTGGTGTTCCTGCCTTTATGTGTGGATCATGTGTGGAGAGGTCATGCTATACGTGTCTCTACAGATTATAAAGACTTACTGAAAACATTTCTATTGCATTATATAGGCTTCAGTGATATCTGGGGGGCATCAAAAAAATCAAGGTAGCGCACATAATATAAGCGCGGCTTTGATCGCACAGTTATGGCTATCATCGTGACTTTTTTGACACTGTCCTCCATGCAGACACTCCTAATAGGTTTCCTGCATCTTTCCCATCTGTTAATGGTAACTTAGTTACCATTTTCCATTTTAAAAAGTTTATATAGCTGTAAAAACTGTTTTCAAACTTAATACTCGAAATAAGCAAGTAAGAGTAGTCCTCGTTTAACAGTGGTAATTGGAACTCCATTGCTAAGCGACATGGTAGTAAAGCTCAATGTCACACGACCACACTGACTTACAATGGCAGTTCCAGCAGTTCCACTTGCTGTCATTAAGCGAATCCCATGCGGTTGTTAGGTGGGATGTCATGTGATCACCATTTGCAACCTCCTGCTGGCTTCCTCATTACCTTTGCTTGTCAGAAGCTGGCAGTGAAGGTCACAAATGGCGATCACATGACCAGGGGACACTGCAACCATTGTAATTATGAGCTGGTTGCCAAGTGCCCGAATCACGTGACCACAGGGATCCTGCAATGGCCGCAACTTTGAGGACCAGTCACAACTCTCTTCATTCAGTCCCAGCGTTAACTTCCAATGATTGCTGATCCAGTGGTTGTTAAACAAGGATTATCTATATACTGAAATTTCAAGAAAAGCTATTTGCCTCACTTTGGTTTCTTTTTCCCAATTTCTTAATAAATAGGACCCTATTGTTTTGGCTGTAAAGAAGTGGCTTTTTACTTCAGTAAAGTTAACTTATTCATTTCTACCAGAAAACATACAGTACAGTGATACCTCGGGTCACGACCGCTTCTGTTCACGACCAATTCGGGTCACGAACAGCACCGTTCGCAAAATTTTGCTTCCGTCCGCGAACTCCGCATCGGGTGCCGAACAGGATCCACGCCCATTTTCCCTGCCGTGACACGTGGTCATGGCT